AGCACACTGTGACTAAGTCTCAGAATGCCAGGGTAAGAACCTAAAGGAGAATTACCTACGACTATTACATCTAACAGTCCCTTTATTAGAAGAAGCTATTCCATAAACAGAATGAGTAAGTTTGGTCCCCCTCTCCAAATTCCAATTAGGGACATGACAAGCAGCATTACCTCCTCCAGCTGGCTCAAAGCTACACAGGTGTTGGCTAATATGCCCACACCAATTAGCCAGCAGACCAAACGGAAACAGCAAGCTTTGGTACTCCTTCTGGATTTTTCCTTCTCCCTGCTGCACCCCCCACATCAGTGAGAACTACTCATTGTTCGGGGTTTTTTGCTCTCCCTCACTCTCCCCATCCAACATCCTCCTGCCCATGTACACAAAACCTGGAAGGACCCGGCATCTTTGAACCACATCCATGTCAACCTTCACTGAAACTTCCCCAAATGCTCAGCTGTTACAACATCCACCGGCAGCAGGGCTCCAACTGCCTCCTACAGTATTCTGCAGTCAACAGCAATTACTTTAACCCTCTTTTTTTTTCTTAACAAATATTCAAGAAAACCCAGATACAATTCAAATGCATGGATGAACAATTCTTTTGGACTTTTCGGAAATAATTAACTGAATTCGCTTTAAAAGGCAACAGTAATATTCGCAATTCTGAAATCTACATTAACATCTTTTTTCCCAACATCAAATTTATTTTAACGTTTATTCCCACTGCTACACAAACTTGCCGGAGGGGGGGAACCCACACAATAAGATTAAACGCCTCATTTAAAATCAAATAGTTCTCTTGAATTCACCTGTGCCCAAAATGTTACTGCATCTTCAACGTGGCAGCCCACAACATCTTCAACTTGAGAAGGTTAAAAAAAAAAAAAAAAAAAATTATTCTCAAGTGCAATTTTATGTTTGTTTGTTTTAAAAAAAAAAACACCTCTGCCTCACATTACCTTTGTCATGTTCTGTGTCTCCATCCATGACAAGAGATTCTGAACCACTACGAGGTACCTACAGTTAAAAGGGAAATGGAGGTATCGCTCCCCCTCCTCCCGCCCCACCCCCGCCAACCAAACCTCTGCCCGCGGACGGGCGCCCTTTTCTTCAGTGAAAAAAAAAAAAAAAAAAAAAAAAAAACCACCACGCCAAAACAAAACGACTTTCGACGCAGGGAAGCGCCGTGAGGGCGTCAGGGCCGCCCGCCGCTGCGCACCCGCGGGGGCGAGGCCCCGGTGCCGGCCTCCCCCACACACCGCCCGCCCCGCGCATGCGGCCGCCCCTCCGCCGCGCGCCCCCGCGCCGGCAGCCGCGGGGAGAGGCGGCCGCCCGCCGCCTGCGCGGGGGAAGGGCCGCAGCCCCCCGCGCGCTCAGCCGGAGCCCCGCTGCCCGGCGCCGGGCTTGTCCCGCCCGCCCCGCCGGAGCCTTCACCGCGCGGGCGGGCGCGCGGGCCGGCCGCCATCGCTGCACGCGTTGGTGGTTTTGAGGGAAGAACGAAGCGGCGGCAGCCTCGACCCGCCCTTTGAACGCCCTCCCGCCGGTTCCCCGTGGGCGACGCGTCGGCGCTTGCGTTTCTGTTTCGCGTACGGCGGTGTTTGCGGTTCTCCTGCCTTTGCCTAAGATGAGGATGAAAAGCCATTGGCGAGGTCTGGGTGCCGGTGTTAGGCACGGCGGCGTTCGGCTGAGCCCGGGACTTGGCTGAGGGAGGCAAGGGAAGGAGCGGGAGCGCTCGCTGCACAGCCAGGGCCGACCGGCGCGCGCACAGTGCCTGTAAAAATAAGATTTAAAACCAATGTAAAGCGAATAACGATCTATTCTACCAGAAGACAAATGCAAAGGGCTCAAGCAAGAGTAGGCTTGTAGACAAAGGTCGTATCTGTTGTTACTAAAAAAAAAACCAAACAGGTACACCTTTAGACTGGAAAACCGTTGTTGCTAGTTATAGTTGTGCAAATTAACAAATACTATCACTACCTGCAAAGTCATCTCTTTCCTTAGACCACACGGCTACAACAAAACTACCACTAGAGACTCCAAGGACATAAAGACGCAAGACCTGAAAAGTGTTTAATATGCGCAATGTGCTGTGAAGACACTGACAACTTGACAAAGTAATTCTGCATGGATGCCGTTGCTGGCTGTGAATTCACACATCACATTCCCCTCCTTCCCAAACCTGAGACAGACAGGCGCATTTTATATTTCGTATCAGAAAAACACAGAATGGGAAGGAGCCCCTTGCCCTCCACTTAGGATCACTGACCAGTCTCTACATCGCCCAAGGTGCATCTAAGCCTTTTCACAGGATGATTAAAACGAGTGGAAAAAAATGCTGCTCCACGCTCAAGCGGTGTTATAATAAAGGCAAAATATTGATTTGAAAGACAGCTATTTAAAAAATGAGAGGTGCTTAAGCACTGCCTAAGACCTAGGCAGTTTGGCTTTCAGAGCGTCGAGCGCTCGTGTGTACGACAACACGGCACGTCCCCCGTGCCAGATCCCTTGGGCTGGAGTCAGAAACGGTTAATGCGTCCAGCTGAACGACGGATATACACCCACAAATAAATCATACAAATGCACCGATAGCTTATCTGTCCCATGATGTTATGTTCAACGTTCATGACTGGTCAGGAAAACAAGCCATCAACGAGTACGCGTTAAACTGAGCTCTTCATTTAATGACCACTGTTAATGGCAAACATACCAGCATTTGGTCTCTGCTTTTACCTTTAAAAAAATTTTCTTTTTTAATTGAAGAATGGAGAGATTTTCCAATAGAATTGAAAGTTACAATTTTGGTCCTATAAAACGAAGGGTTTTTTTCTTAGGATAAAAATAAGAGTAATTCCAGTTAAGTGCAAATTCCACTTAAGACATGACATCAGTCTCTAATTTTCACAGCCAGCAACATTATGAGATATATTGTACCTGGCTTTTCATGTATAGATATGAATAAAAATTCTGCAAAAAAGTACTACATGAATACCAAGAAGTCTGAAGTATGCCTTTTAGTAAGGAAAGTGAGTGTCTTTTACTTGGACATCATCAACATGGGTGAAAAGTGGTCAGAACTCCTAAGCAATATTTAATGCCATCAATATTTTTATGATTCCGCTTGTTTTCCAACTAAAAAGTAATACCATTAAATAAATGTAGTAACTTTTTCATATTATTTAAGTGGAAATGTTAAATAAGTTTAAGCACAGAAAAAATTCTCTGAAAATTGGCTTTGATAAAACCAGCTCATGGTCGAAGTACAGTTTAGTAAGACTGAATTTGGGCAACATTTAAAACTGACAAGTATTTTTAACTCAAAATGTCAATAAAAGCACAATAAATACATTATTTCCTAAAAGTAAAAACTAATGTTATCAATCTAAAAAGAAACACAAAGTATGAGATTTTTGTAACTATTAAAACCTCTGTCTATAACAGTATTTTGCTGCGAGAAACCTTATCTCTGAAATACATACATATATTTCTGGAACTGCATTCCCTAATGGGTATAGTCACGGGGATAAATATGAAAATAGAACAAACTTCCGCTATTAAGCTTGTAATAATCTCTCTGAAGACTGAAATAAAAATATTTTTTCTACATATTTACCATTTTCTTTTACCAATGTTATTTATGCATTTGTTTCTTGCAATTCTATTGTGAAATCCCGGCTTACTTATGAGACCAAGTAGGTACGTAAAAATCATTGCTTATTAGGACCAGAAGAGGGAGCTCAAATTAATATTTGTATTTATTAAGTTAAAGCAGTATGTGACAGTGTAGAATTCAAAGGTAAAGGTACTTTTAAAGCATTCACTAGAAACTTTGATACATTATGCATTTAAATTAAAGTAACAGATCAGCCTCTCTGACATCTGTAGTAATGGCAGTATAGGTCAGAGTTAAGGTAAATGGCCTTTTTTAATCTTTGAATTTGGGCAATTGAGACTTCCATTCCCTTCTTGCTTGGATTCCAGCCGTCTCCATCAGTCCCTGTAGGACCTGCATACACCCCTAAGAACTCTCCTTCCCTCCCAGCACTGGCAGCTGAACAAGCAAGCAAGTTGCCCTGCGCCAGACGCCTTCAACATCTCCTCTTGGCCCGTCAGGCACACGGAGGCATTCTCTCTGCCTGCAATCAGAGCTTTGTAAGCTCCTCCCAACTCTTGCGATAAAGCCTCAGTGCACACACACCACCTGAAAGGTCTTCAGTCCCAGAGACATAGCTCCAGGTACTTTCAAGGACAAACTGACTTAACACCTCCCTGTTTTCAAAGGAGAATAACAAAGTTAGCTCAGGCTCTGCTTTTGCCTCACAAGCTGCCGCCTCTGTACCAAGTTCTTGCTGTGCTGCTTCGCAGATTTAAACCACCACACAGAGTTACCAAATTTTAAATTTTCCTGCCTGCTACCTTTGATACAACATACACTGCCACAGCTGTGAATATGGACAGAGAAAACAAATGCACCTCTCCCTTCTTGAGGGACTCAGTCTGTGTTGGATTAGATGTGAAGAAAGAAACTGTTGCATAAGTTTTTATCAGACACTATATAATTATTTGTTTACATGCAATAATTAGCATATCCATTTCCACTTAATGTTTTCAGAATTTTAGTGTGACAGAATCATTGTTACAAACAGTTTCAGACAAACAGAATCGGGAGAATGGTACCACTAGAGAAATCAGGGATAAAGTATACAAGCAGGATCCCTTCAAATAGCTAGTATGCATGTGTGGAAATGGGCTTACAAGCACATAGAAGTTCACATGTAAAAAAACATTTATACATTGGCAAGAACAGAGTCTAGAGAAGCACGAGAGAAGAATGGTATGTTTGAATTTTATGTAAAGGTGATGAAAACAACAGAAAGAAGAAAAAAAAGATGTAAAGAAAAGATTAAGATGTCAACACTAACAGAACAAACCCCACCAAGTAAAAATCCACAAACAAGATGAGTTCTAAGGACTCTACAAATAAAGGGAGTGAGTCATAAAAGTCTAAGAACAGGATATATATTTTCTTTGCCCTTCTACAATGTAATACTTAAATACATGGTTATTCTCTCATAGCTTAAACTTCTAAATATGATTTTCAATTCTCAAAGGAATTTCTGTGTATCAGTTCGGGAGATTAGAAACGCACTGATTAAAGTACCAATTTTATTACAACAACTTACTTAAAAACTAATTTAAGCAGTAGACCAAAAGAGCAGAATAAAGAAATGAAAAAATACAAGTATGCAGGTCGGCGCAGCAAAAAATACTCTTCAGTACAATGATTAACACTGTGCCACGTAACAAAGATTTCTTTATTATTCTCATGGCTTCTTTGATGGTGCTGGACTTTCCTCTTTCTGTTTAGCAGCCTTCTCCTTTTTCAGCTGTAACAAAGAAAGACACCAACACTGGTTCAAGCATTAATTTGCAAGTTGGCTAGCAACGTGATCTTAATTCTCTACATCCAGTCATAAATTTGCCACAGTGATATATGCAGTGGAGAGTGAGCTACAGATAATTACTAGCCCAACCTAGCATTGCTTACTTTTGCACCGTAGGACAAAAGAGCACTTCCTTATCTCTGCAGCTCCTCCCCTATTCAAACCAGGGCTGCCTTTATCTCTGATAACGGTAATCTAGGTATTTATGCAGCCCTCAAGGCCAAAGTGCCTCACAGATGTTCAGGGTTTTATCTTTAAGTCAATGAAAGTTAAAAAAATTTTATTACAGATACGTAACAGCCACATTTACACTAACCAGAATGCACAAAATCACACAGGAATTTTGTTGCTGAAGTAAACCTCCATCTCAGTGTCTCCTCATTGACCCACAATGTCGTGTCTTACTCACATAAGATTTTTCTACACAGCAGGCTCTTATAGCATGGTATGATTTACTAACGCACATACATATAACTCTTCCATTTTGTACTAAGACTATTAATCCAGACAAATATATCTGTTGTTTTTAGAAGCAACAGTTGTTCTCAAGTATTGCTGCATTAACGAATGAAATTCTATTTAGAGAAGTTACAGAAAAGGGATGTTTTCCCCATAAGATAATGTCAAAAGGAAGCAAGGCCCCAGTCCTGATTTGGATGTCTACAAATGAACTCACTGCTAAGAAATCCTGTTGTTGGTCTATACAGCATCTAATTTTAAAACATTTTTCCATATTTGGAGGCTTGAAGTTTCTATATGAAATTCTTCCTACCTCTTGCAAAGAAAACAAAATCTTAGGGGGAAAAAGAACCGTAGCAATTTGGATTTGATAGTAACATGTTTTCTCCTATAAACAGATACTGTATTTGTACCACCATATTTTGTGATGATTTCCAAAATAAAATTCTTTTAAACTTCACAAAGTTAGAACAGGTTTCTCATTAACAAACACCTTGTTGCAAGCAGCAAGCATAACAGGAGTTAAGATTTTTAAAGTTAATTATGCAACATTGCCTTAGAAAAGAATTCATAAGCAGTCAAGACATACTTCCATCTGAGGTGGTGGAAGTAAGGAGCTAACAGGGGGAAAGAATAGGTATTTAAGCATCTAAGTGACCTACACCACAGGGCATTTAAAATTTACAATACAGTCAGCAGGGTGGAGGCAGCACCTCTAAGGGGGTGGTTCAGATCATCTAAGAAAACAAACCAGATTTAGCCCAACTGCACAGACATCCGTAAGGAAAAGAATGTCATGAAGTTTATAAATGAGGTAGCAAACACATATTCCTAAACGTCACAGGTGACTTTAGAGTCTGTTGGTTCTTTTTGTCACATATTAAGATATTTTGTTTTTCTGTAATGGAGAGTTGCCTCAATAAGAATCTGCCCAGTTAAGGTAAATACCATCCCAGACATGACCTCTGAAATCCTGCAATAGCTCATAACTGTATTTAAAACTCTATTTTAATAAGCTAGTGTTTTCTCAGGAAGAGAACAAATAATATAATGCATTTATATGCCACTTAAATCATATATTTATCTTTATTAGACACCCTCTTGTGAAAATATATTTGAATTAAACAATAAATGCAGTAACTTGCCCGTTCTTGATAACGGCCTTCAAAACAAGCCATGTCATCATCTTCTGAATGCCTTCCATGAGAAACTTGCCTTGTGGCACTAGAACCACCTGGAAAACAAAACAAACCAAAACATTTTTTCATTAATGATATTTGCTGTTCCGTTAACTATGTTTTACATTTGGCAAAACACATTTAAAATTAGAACTCACCTTTATAGGCAAGTAACAATCCCCAGCAAATGGGACCAAAGACCAACCTCGCTAGTCTAGGCTAGCAGCTATTACAAACGGTCTCAGAGAAGTTCAACAGTTACATAAATTGCTAAATTCTTATACTAAATTAGGGACATGAAATAAGCATAACCAATCCATGGATCCATGCAGAAAAGACTTTCTGACAGAAGGCAGTTCCACAGGATTGTGCTGAATATGTACAATCCATTCAGATATGATGAGCTTCTAGTAGGAATTTAAAATTTAAAAAACTGATCCAATGAATAAGTGACACGATTAATGGGGAAGATACCAAATGCTAGAAAAAGATCACTAAAGTTAAAAGCACATGGACAAAAATAACAAGCAGTAACAAAACAGTTATTCTAGGCACATGAATGTTGTACTAACTTTTCACAGAACAAGACTTCAATACTCATTATGGTTTTTAACTTTGATTTTAGACCTAAGCATCCTTCAACTCATAAATAAAACCAAATGATTTTATATTAAGTACTTTTTGTAAAACACTATCATCCTACTAATACAGCACCTGCTATCTGTGAGATGGTTTGAGCGGAACTAGAAGGTGCCTGGAATGCTTTTAGAAATGGATGATCCATGCTGGTAACAGGGGATTCTAAAAGTTCAGCAGAAGGAGCCCCTGTTAGAAAACAAGTTGAATGAAAACATAAATTAACTTCAGGAGATATATGAAGAACATTGTCCTGGGTTGAGTGAGTGGTGGTTTTTTTTTGGTGGCAGGGGAGGGGGCTATCGGGGCAGCCCCCTGTGAGAAGCTTCTCGAAGCTCCCCCAGCTCCAAGTCAGCTCCACTTCTGTTTGGAAACTGAGCCCATCGGCTGCGCCTCTGCGATAACGTATTTAAGAAGGGACGTGGTGAGGAGCAGTGGGACTGGTGAGGAGGAGTTGCTGCAGCTGCGTGAACACCAAGGTCAGTGGAGAAACAGAGGAAGAAAGGAGGGGGGAGGTGTGCCAGAGCAGAGACCCCCCTGTATCCTGTGGGGAGACGGCAGGGCGGCCCCCCCTGCCACCCATGGAGATCTACGGTGGAGCAGACACTGATTTATGGCCTGTGGTTTCTGCTTGCCTGATCAAGGTGCTGTGCCCGAAGAAGGCCGGGGTGTCATGGGAAAAGGCAGCCCCGCTGCTGTAATTCAGCGCTGGGAGGATTGCAGCATGCGGGGGAGTTCCACGCCGCAGCAGCTCGGGAAGGGCTGCAGCCGTGGGAGGGAATCCAGTCGGAGGAAGTTGGTGACCCATGACGGAGCAGTGTGGGGAACGCTGCGGCCCATGGGAGGAACTCATGTTAGAGAAGGTTTGTGGAGGACTGTCTCCTGTGAGAGGGGGACCACGATGGAGCAGGGGGAGCAATTTCCAGAAGCTCCCCCCACTGAAGATGAAGGAAGTGGCAGCGCTGACTGCACCCCCCATTCCCTGCCCCTGCGCCCCTGGGAGAGGAGGTAGAGATATCGGGAGCAGAGCTGAGCCCGGGAAGAAGGGAGGGGTGGGGGGAAGGTGTTCTCAAGATGTGGCAATGCTTCTCACTGTCCTACTCTGGTAAGTGTCGTTAGTGTCTGTAATAAATGTATGTTCTTTTTTTTCTTCCCCTAACGAGCCTGCCTTTTGCTCGTGCCCATAAAGGGGGATTTTTTCCCCATCCCAGTCCTATCTCAAACCCCAAGCCTGGCTCTCTGTCCCTTCTTATTGTCGGAAGAGAAGGGAGAGAGAGTGGCCGCGTGGTGGTTGGCTGCCGACCAGGCCCAAACCACAACAAACATACATGATGGGGTCAAAACAAGGCTACAGATTAATATCTACAACACTCAGTGCACACCCCATAAACTTGAGTTTACAAAAGCAGAAAAGACTTCAAAAGAAATGAGAAGCTTTGTTTAATTACTATGGCTATGCTATAGTTTCTAAACTTCAGACAAACCCAGGAAACCAGACCAGAATTTTAAAAAGAAATAATGAGTACATGCCAATAATAAATAAAACAGTATTTCAGGGCAAAATATGTCCATTACTAAATGATAAAAAATCACAGAGCAGCAGAGGCCAACTAACATGCCTGTCAAAAATAAAATTCTACAAATGACCTCTTTGTTTTATGCTGAACAGCTATTAACCTTTGAGTTTGGAAAAAAAAATGCTGCAACTGTATAACCAAGAAATACCTGGGCAGTATTAGGCTAAAGGATTAATGTAAATATACCATGGAAGAAAAACAAAAGTTACAGAGTTCTTTCTAAAAAATATGCTTCACTTCAACCAGAAGCTATTGGGCTGAACACCAGAATTATTGATGAATAGGGTATTTATCGGTTCACTACAGGAAGTTGGACAAGACGGTCATAACAGTTTTTTCACACCCAAGGACTGCTAGGAAAAAAAAAATAAATCTGTCTTAAGTCCTACTCCAATTGACCCAGTTTTCCTTTGAACTTGACAATCTATGCTGAATTACTACATTTCAAAACTACTTAGTTGGAGAATTAAAATTTCATCTCAGGTCAGCTGCACTTACCTATTCCACTGTCATCGAGTCTCATGTAGCCTTCTGCTAGTGAACTAAAACCAGTCAGTCCTCCCATAGCAGCGTAAGGAACATCCTGCCCCACAGGCTTTCCTTGGGCTAGGCGCTCTTGTTTAGTTTCCACGACTGTTTCATGAGCATATGTTGGCTGACCACATGCACAGGTAAAACAACTATGAAATCCCAAACACTTGGAACCTAATTAACAAATAAATAAGTGCAATGAGTGAGATGAAAATGGAATTTATACTTCATTGCAGATGAAACAGTGTTTCCCTAAACTGATTTTGTCAAAAACTACAGTTCCTTCACTACAAAAGCATTCAGCTATATGAAAATGCTGTAGAAAACAGCAGAAAGGATGACTGTGGGGATTAGATCATAGGGGTCGTGCAGGCTCAGGGTCTCATTCAGTCAAGTGTTGAGTACTTCCAAGGATGGAGATTCTACTTCTCTGAGCAGCCTGGACCAATGTTGATCCTCCCTTGGAGCAGACATTTCTTTCCTATTATCTAACTGGTGGATTTCCTATGTTGCAACTTGTGTCCATTCCCATTAGTAACACCCTTCTTAATCCCTCCCCTGACAAAAAATAAAAAACCCCTGTCATTGGATAAAGAAGACAACCTGCCAGCATTTTGGCAGTATGATCTCCAAAGGTGTACAGCACATGTCAATGTGGTGTGGTCAGAAAACTTCAAATCACAATGATACAAATCACAATCTAAATGTCTTTTACAATTAGCAAAATTATCTAGTAAACAGAGGCTGTGGCAACAACAAAATGGGTTCTACGTAAGAATACCATTAGACTGACTTTCAGGGGGTTTTTAAGTTTACATAGCCACAGGATGTAACTGGAACAGTTACACAAATGACATGTGACGTTCAGAAACACAGAGTGAAGTGATGTATCTGCCCTAGCTACAGCTAAGACTGTCATCAAAGCCCTGCTGGAGCAATGATGTGAACAAGAAATTGAGGAGCTGATTTTGCAAATGTTTCATTATACAAATTACCCTGCTTCCAACTCCCAGTTACAGTTCATTTTTCAGAACACCAAGAAAGATTTTTTGAAGTCTTGTGTAACATGCTGAAGGACCATATTCTTGGAAATGATAAATGCTTTTTTCATAGAATTTTGGGCACTCCTCAGCAATAGAGCTCTCACTCCGTGTTTGGATACAGAACACAGTACATACAATATACGATGTGCAACAGCAGTATTTTTTCAATTACAATTTATCTATCACATTAGGTTTATACAACACTGGGCTAGACTAGTATCAGTACATTAAAACAACAAAAGTCCAAAATAGAAGCATGTCTTGTCACTCCTCTGTGTAATCTGTGAAGCCCTCTGAAGTGTCAGGTGTTTCTGAGAAACACTAGAAAAAGTGCATATTATTAAAAACACTGTCTTCTAAGGATTCAGTCTGAATCATCCAGTTGCACATTTAAGACTTTCACATTACTTAGAGAAAATTCTTGAAAGGCTGTCATAGAAATATTTTATGTTTTATTCTGTGGGATATGATTCTCATCCAGCAAAAGCTGTTTATGATTTTTCCTGTACAAATTAGACAGACTTCATAAAAGAAATTTACTAACAGCATGGAACTCTAGCAGAAAAATCTTCAGCTTACATAATTTAAGGTTTCAAACTAAAAGATCTTAATGCCTTATTTATTTTCCATGGTTAATAATTACTGCTGTTTCATTATAATAACCTCCAACAACTGAGGCAAAAAGCTTCCTCTTAGTGCCTTCTCAAACCTTTTGCTTGAAACTCCATTCCCGTTTGCCTCTCTGGACCCACAATCTGTATGCTCGGGAGCCGCTTTGTTAGAGCGCTAACAATAGTGCTATTTGGGAACAGAGTGCTACTTCCTATTGAGTTGAGAAAATATATAAAAATACATTAACGTTATATTCAACCAGGCAATAGAGGAATGGAGAGCAACACTTCCCTCTCTCAAACTACCAAGTTCAAGTAGAAGAGTCCATTGCATGCAGCAGTGGAAGTGACAAACTGCAAATGGAGCGCTCTCATAGTGCTTGACTTTAGGCAGCTGTCTCCCTATGTACCCAAACAAATCATTCGGAAACTTAAGCTCCTTCACAGGACTTGGGGAAGCTAAGGGTGCTGTTCTAAACCCTCCTGTGCAGAAGGTGGTGTCTTCCTTCCCATTCCCCATCCTTCCTGCAAGGACCAAAATACACATCACTGACAAGTGCCGCACATACCTAATACTCTGGGGCAGCAGACAGATCCCTAACGTGCTGTTCCTGTTAAGTTTCCCAGCAAAAAATGCTGCAAGCCCATCAGTGACTTACAAGAGTTACATGAAAATCCAGGTGCTGCACTGTGCTGATCAGCAAAGTGTTTGCATCTGCAACGGATGGGCTGCGTGCCATTTAGAGGGACATAGTGATAGGACTGGCATGGGCAACGGCTCACTCTACAGGGCACAAAAATGGGACGGTCGTTGGGAACCACTTCATAGTCTGTTTTGTGTTGTTTATACCTGAATCAGGAAAAAATAGTAACTTTTATAACTTTGTTAGAATTTATCAGAAAACTGAAATACTTAAAATTTATCTTACAAGTTCTGAAGTATCTTTAATTATAGTAATTACTGTTAATTTTCAATCAAATGCTTATCAGGTGCTTCTACATCCATTCATTACATAATTATCACAGATCCTTATGTTTCATTTTGACAGTACTAGCAGAATCAATCTGATCTACAGTAACTCGTGCCTTAAAGCTGAATGTATTGAGGACTACAAAATCATTTTGGTCTCAAAAAAATTTCTTGAGATTTAGATTTAAGAACAGTTCTTGTGATTTAAAACCTAATTTTCTCAACCCTTAGACCTTAAATTAACTTGCCTACACAGTACTGTAATGTATTTGGAAACATTTTATATTTTCCTGATTTTAAAAAATATAACGGTGCAGAAAAAGAAAGGATACCTACCGGTGAGTACAAAAGCACAGCGTCTCTGGTCCCACAAGCTTACAGTCCATGCCATTTGGTGATCTCCAGCTCACATACAACCTGTTCTGTAACCGAATTGGTAATACCTTTCTTTTGTACTCCTCATATTCCTCAGGGGTAAAGAGCTTTCCTCCATCATCATCACCTGCAATTCTATAAGCATGTCAAAAAAAAAAAAAAAGTAAGAAAATGAAGATAATAAAAGTAGGTTTCTCAAGACATTTTTTCAAATGATACATAAAACTTCTGCTGTAAATGCAAAAAAAAAATCTTTCATAACACTGTCCTAGTGATACACATTTAACAGAGCTATAGTTGATCTTTAGAGAAATTTTATCAAAAATGCTCTTTTAAAAAATTTGCTCTGATAGACTGAAAACCAGCATTGTAAGAGAAAAGGGAAAAAATAATAAAGCAAACTACCAAGTTCCTGTTCATATGGCAGGAAAAGCAATGGGCATCAAGGGCTGTGTAACCAGTCAGCTCTGCCTCAGACTTCTTGAGTGACCCCTGGCAAGTCACTTCATCCACCTACACCTAACTGTATTGCAGACTTGTATCAGATTGTCTCATTTTAGTCTAGTCTGAATGAGATTAATCAGCTGCAAGTAGGTAACCACACTGCCATCAAAGTAGCAAAGCATCCAAGCTGTTTTCTACTATGCAAGAAGACGATGCTAGTGTCTGTACACGAAGTTAATAGCAGCTGTATCCCACACCTCGGACAAGCCCCTTTGTTTAAGTAATCACTCTGATCAAATTCAAAGTCACTAATTCCTCAGCCAGCACCCAAATTCTACATTTATGGTGACAATTAGTAAAATCTGTAAAATACAATTTAGACTGAATTGCTGCACTTAACTATGCTGAAGGTGAGTTTATTCACGTCTGTAAATACTTCAGTTATGATTTGTTGGGTGTGCTAAAACGTATGGAATGAGTGATTCTTTGTCACTCTGAATTCTGTGGATGTGTACATGGCCAGTACTGTCGAGGACCAGAATAACGTGTCAACACATCACTGTCATTTGCACGTCAATCCAGCTGACACCCACGGAACCAGTGTGTAACTACTTACGTAAGAAACACCACTGTGCTTGGTGGTTTAAACTAAATTAAGACCACACTTCAGGCTGAGTTGGTGTTTATTTCTGCTCGAGATCAGCTCGTCGAGAGGAGCGACGGCGAGATTCGGAAAGACACGTCGGAGTACACGGGCACACGTTTACACACCGCAAAACCGAATTCACGACGCGCGGCAAGCCCGCGTTTCCTCGGGGGGCTGGACGGGCGGCGGATCGGCCCCTCGCCCCGCCACCGGACAGACGGACACACCGCCCGCGGACGGACAGGCCGGCCCCGGCGTGGAGAAACGGCGCCTCCGTCCACTCGCGCACAGCCGGCGTTCCCACCCTGCCTCCGCGGCCGCCCCCCCCCCCCCCCCCTCAGCGCCGCTGCCTCGGGCGCGGGTGGGACCCCCACTCGCGGGCGCTGCCGCGGAGTCAGCGCGGGGCACTGCGGCCTCGCCGGGAAATGGCGGGGCGGGGGGGGGGGGGGGGGTGCGGTACCGGGTGCGACACGACGAGGCCGCCGCGGCCCGCGGAGCGGCGGGGACGGCCTCGGGGTAAACGGCGGGCGGGGCGCAGGGGAAGGGCCGCCAACCGCCGCCCCTCTCCCCGCTTCCCGGCGGCCGCGGGGCCCTGCCCTCACCGCCGGTACGCCGCGTACTCCCCCAGGGCCGCGGCCTCGGCCTGCAGCCGCTCCGTGCCCGCCACCGCGCCGCCCGCCGGCAGCGCCTCCCGCGAGCGCGCGGGCTGGGGAACCGCGCGTGTAATTGAGGGGGGGGGGGGTGTCGTGCCAGCGGGCGTGGGCGCGTGGGGCCTCGCAGCAGCTCCCGCGGGGCGGCGGTCGCCCCTCTCGGGGAAAGACGCCCTCGCTGAGCCAGGAGGCCGGGGCACGGGCACGCCGGTGCGGTGCATCGGGGAGGGCACGGACACAGGCGCCGGTGCCACGGACCCCACGACAACTCAGGTGCGTGTGTGTGTCGTCCCCCCCCCCAGGCCTTCCCGGCGCCTGCGCTCGCGTTGTCCTGAGCTGTCGCTACTCCTTCGACCTTCCTTGGCACCGCCACATTTCTAGAGAAAAATAGAGAAAGCTAGAGACATTTCTGATAGATGGGTAGGCGAGGGGTATTTTGGGGTCGGCCGCTGGTTCCCTGGAACTCTTCTGTTATGAAGTACCTATTTTGGTCGTGGTTCAAGACAAAAGGACGGCAGCTTTGGGAATCACTCGTAACCACAGATGGTTCTTAAGACTGGCAGCCTGGCATTCCCCGTTCTTCTCGTGCGTGCCACAAATGACGCCACCACGTTGAAACGACTCCTCCGAGGTGTTTGAAGGCTGTGGTCAAGAGGCCACAGGCTGCTATTTTTGAAACTGCACTAGCGGTGTAAATTGACTGCTTCCTCTTGATGTAAACATACTGGTCACATCATGACTGAACATGTGAGCAAAAGATGCAGTATGTTTTCCTTAACTGAGCTTCGGGAAAATGCTGTTTAAATGGTGCTTTGCATAAACTACGAGCCCTCCGACTGTCAAACTGAGACCCCAGAGGATAAGCTTTTTCCATACAATAAAATGATAGGTGCCTGTTGAAAAAGGTACAGCAATTCAAGGAAATCTCCATATTGTTTTGCACTGGGCAAAGCCACCAGCAAAGAAGCAGAAGGTGAAGAGTGATGTCACAAGGACCAAGGCAGTGTGTAGCCAAAATATCCCCCAGAGAGAGATGAAACAACAAAGACTCTGAAGTTTCCAGCAGTATCTAAATAAGGTGTTAGGGCATATGGTCTGGACATTTGTTCTGTGGCTATGCCACACACAAAAGAAATTTCAGCAGAGCAGCCAGCACTGTGATACAACGCGCGTGTTCTGTTACACCGAGATCTGAACACAAGTCCCTCTTAAAGGCAGGAAAGGTAACGGGAGCAAGTCATCACTTGCAGTCAATACATCTTCAAGTAAGCTAGTGGAGGAAAATAAAACCACACAGAAAAGTCAGGATTGTTTCTCCAGGGAAAATTCTTCCTGTGACCAAAACTTTGAAAAAGAAACAGATGGAGAAAGGGGACCTTGGAAATAGGAGAAGCAGCTCTGCAGATAGGGAATTCAGACGTACTGAGGAACACATTGCTGTGCAAGAACTGCACAGAACTGAAGGTCTTTGAGATACCTTATCTGTATGCACAGTTCACTGGTGCCAGAGGTCCCAGCACTGCCAAGGAAATCGGGGGAGAGCTCTGGCAAGCCTGGCTCATGCAGAATGAGCAGAGCTTGTGTCATGGGTTGATGTACCTCATCTGTGCAAGGTTTCTGTTAAAAACAGTGCTCTGAAATAGTTTGGGTTGGGAGAGCAGATCCAGGCTTCTGAATTCGGTAGCTTTTGGTGAGGGCTACGAGTGTTAGCCTATATTGCACTTTTGTGTCAGATTTCCTGTGAAGCAGTAGGCGTGAAGGTGTGGAGAGTAGGAAATAATTTTTTTGTGGAGCACCTGTCCTATGAACTACCTCCCATCATAAAAATTGAGGATTATATTCCCAGATTTGATCACAGCAACTGTTCTCTGCAATAGAGACAGTGCTCAACTTACTATCACCCCAGCATCTGCTTGGATCCAAATCTGTGCTCATAGACTTACTTGGGAACAGATATAAAAGGTGAAAGACTTTGTAATTCAGATACTGAGTTCTTCACTAGTAAAGATATTGCAAGCACCCACTGTTTTACTGTCATAGCATGAGTATTGGAATATATTTTGGGTTCAGAAAACCCTCTCCTGTCTCCCATCCCTTCTAATAAATTGTTAGTGGACATCTGAAATTAAATTCATTACAGACTGAGTCAGACCAGATTTTCCATGGTAAACTCTTGAATAATTTTGAATAGCAGGAAGAAGAAAAAAAAAAAAAAAGCTTTCTGCTACTGTAAGGAGGCCATGGCACAAGGTAAGTAAAAGGAAGAGAAATCCAGATGGCATGTTTTACCTCCAATGGCTGTGATGTAGCATACGGATGCTGCTGGCCCAAGATCTCTGAACACATCAAAGTGGGTTGAACATATGGACACTCACTTACAGTACAGCTCTGTGAGACCTAAGGTGCTGCCTACACATCAAAGGCAACAGCTTAATGCTGCCTAGGGTGTTGACAGTCTCTCTCAACACCCTCTGTTAACAATAAAATGTGCGACCCTTTAAATTTTCTTTAAATCCTTACATGCTTGACAAGTGCTTTAGAATTCATCTCAGTGAAAGTCTATATAAATTGAAGATAGCCACTTTATTAATGCAATCGATAATTTAGTGAAAACAATTTTAGTATTTTAGACCTCAAGTCATCTTTTTGAAGTAACAGTCATTCTACTTCTATGGATTTGGTCAATGACTATCTCTAATTAGCTGTTCTGAAAAACAAGAATAATTGAAGTGGTATAAAGAACAATTGAAACAGTTTCCATCAAATTGTTTCCTCCCTCCACATTTGTTATCAATATTCTGTTATACTTAAAAGCAAATACAAGCAGTACTCACTTATAAACTTCTAACCATTATGCTATGATAAAAATTAGTTTGTGTATTACTAAACACCTAGTTTATGGGGATTTAAAAATGTTAACATTTCTCTTCAGCTTTGCTATCAGAGAAACGGCATGATTAGACATCTACTGAAAACAGTACGTTGATGAATGTGACAGGGAATATGCAAGCTTCTGTGCAAGCAAGAGTTGATTAATAATGAAAGGTTTTTGCTGAATATACTGGCAAACAGTTGGGAAACCTGTAGTAATTTAGATTGCTTACAGATAAGATAGCATGTGACGCCACTGGTGCTTAAGTGATATGATTTCATATGTTTATGTAACGGGAGGCTTTTTAACTTGTGCCTTATTTTAATAACCTAAATGATATTTTTAAAGAAATACAAATGCACATGTGTATCATCCCAGGCAAACAGATTTAGTGAAATTCAGTAACAGTCTATTCCACATGAGAAACATTGCACAAGTCTCATTCACCTTCTTAGCTGCTATGAAAGTAAGTCTTCCATTTCACTCTTGCCTTTGAAAAAGTATTTTACATACTATCAAATACATTAAATCAAACCTGGCAGATGGCATTTGTGAAGCACAAACTAATGAAAGGACACAATCTCAGGTAAGGAGGTTATATTTGGATTATTTGTTAAATATTTCAATAGACACTTTACATGAGCTTTAAAAAAGCACATCAATTAGGTAAAAACGTTTTGGAGATTTAGCTCGTTCCATTAGTTTGTGTATTTTGAGGAAGTATTTTCTAAAAGGTTTTTGAAAAAACAACTGGGAAATTACATTTTATGTAGTCATTTTTCTAAATAAACTTCTTGCAGAGGTTCCCAAATTTACTCTGCATTCCCACAAACAAAGGCCACAACAGCAGCAATTACCCGCAGAATACGTACCTGCACAGCAGGCACTTGATCACTTAGGCACTGTGCATACAGCAGACATGATGCAGTTTGGAAACCTCTGCATTAGCAAATGTTTTAAATGAGAATTTAGATCTATCTAGCCAGTGTCTTTAAATGATTTTGTTAATGAAAAAAGTATTCAGCAGTTACTTGGCAAAACGGACAACTGTGCAATATGTTAGGCATGTTACTGGATGCCAAGGATACTCATGTTTCACCACACTGATTACAAGAACCTCTACATCCTTGTGCCATGTTTCTGTATTTTAAAAATTACTTCATTAAAAACAGATCAGCAAACTTCTATGATCCTAACAGTGGATAAGCAGCTTGTTAAGAGCCATCTCACTGCATTTCAGTGGAGTATCTGTCCACCCATTCATCCCAAAGGTTCTTCAGTGTGGGACCACCCAGCACTTCACATACAATTGTGAATCAATGCTCAGATATCTTAATTACATTAAGGTTACTATGGTGAGATTCAAAAATTACTTGTTTAGATGAAGGAAGCAACAAAAAGAGCTAGAGAATCAGGACAATCTTCCCTAAGAAAGGTGTTTGCCTGACAGTTACTTGGTTGTGAAACTCAGAGCTGTATTAAGACCTGTGGTGCTTCTAGCTGTTTACACAGCAATCAATACACTCTTTTATTTCAATTTTTCTTCATTAGAACTTTTGTTTGGGAGTGGATCTTGAACATTTTTTGCTACATACATTAAACAACCATTCACAGTCACAGAAGTGATACCAATTACATAGTGAAATCAGCTGGTAAACACTCATGAGGAAAATTACAGCTGGGAAAAATAGTCTCATAATTTACAAAAAGATTTAAAGAACAAAACCAAAACAAACACTACCACACCCTCCCCAACCTGCCCCCCCCAACTCTGGGGTTCTTTATATAAAGGAGTTTATACATCCCTCTGCCCTCCAAAGAAAAAGAAAAGAAAACCCAACCCAATCCAGCCTAAGAACCAAACAAGCTTAAGGAAATTCTGTATTTCACAAAACTGGAAGCAGGGCACTTGGATTCGTGATGTCATCTGAAATGGGAAATACATAGCTGCATCATAAAATTTGTAGCACAGCAGAAATACTATTTAAATATTCCTTAAAAAAAAAAAAATTAAATTTTGGCAACACAACAAATTGCTATAATACGATCAAGCATTTTGGGCCTGGGGTGACTTGTAGGCTCTCTCTTGCTTCTTTTTCACAAGCCCTTGGGTTCTTTACACAACCTCCTGCCTTTGCAGGACTGCCACCCCTCACAAATTATGCTGTAAAGGAGGCTGCAGAGTAGAACGTGCAGATGTTTTCTTGCTACTGACAGAAAAGGCCACTGAAACCTTCTCCTTGTCCCTTCCTTACCCTCTTTTCCTTAGTCCACATGCTTAAAGTTTAGTTTTGCCACTCTGAAAAGTGCTGTCATCCCCACAAAAATGATGAAGCTCAGCTTCCACCCTCTGCACTGCTGAGCACAGAAATGATGGAAGAGTGGTGTGCCAGAAAGTTGGTGAAGGGAGAAGTCAGAGGCACAGCATGGTGATACAACACAGAACAAGGCTGGCCACAAAAAGCGGGGCAGGACGTATCACAGATACTGATGTACTGTGGTATCAACCCCTAATAGTGCTGGTTTCACGTAAAATTAGATGTAGGGTGCTACTAGAGTATTTTTATGTTGCTTCCTGATAAACAGTTGTTTCAACTATATTCATGAATGGAACATTTGTGCCGTAAGATATGGGTAGTTCACAGTTCTCCCTATTTATTTGTCAAGTGCAAGCTAATTCCAATGAGACACTGTACTACTGAAACCTGAGAGAAAAGCAACTAATTCCTAATGGCATCATGAATTACTGTGAGTACATAGCTGCATGGAAGTTAGTATACCAGTCTCCAAAATCCCCACATAAAACAAGATGTGTGTGCACATAGTGACATATATTCTCACCTTGCAACTTTTGTTACACTTGTTTAACCATCCTCAACAACTTTAAGACTTCACATACCAGTACAAGAAAATAAATAAAAAAAAGTAACTTTGCATAAACACACAAGAATTACTCATACTACTGTTTAGAGCACAAAGGGATACCACCTACCAAGGCTTTGGTTGGTACCAATTAAATACCCAGGGAATAAAAAGCATAGATGGATAGATACAAAAACTTACCTTCACATTGTCAGTAGACTTGCAGAATTCAAAAGAAGTTATGCACCTGTCTTCTTCACTCTTAAAGAGTGAAGTCTTCCCTTCATCATTAAAGATCTAAACCATTCATTTTATTTTCCTTTCATTTCTTTCTCCCCTTACTTCTAACCTGAGGAAAGTTTCAGGGCATTAGAATTTAAAGAGCAAAAGAACTCAGTGATCAACCATGAAGAATACCAGATAAACTGCTACTAAACTTCAGAGATGTATAATTTTCCAATCCAGAAAGACCTTTACCACATGTAGCAAGAATGACATAACTTAAAAAAAAAAAAACAAAACAAAACAAAAACATAAAATACAACAGGAGCCTTTATAAGTACAATTAAAAATTTATTTTTCTCTTTCTGCATTGAAGTAAGTACATTTTTACATATGATGTGACAGGAAAAAAAAAATCATCTGGATACTAACTAAGACTGTAAGTTTATTTTTCCTTTCTAACAGTTCAGAATATCAGCAGGGAAATAGAAGAAAAGAAAAAATACATCACTATGGATGGTACATCATTCAGCACCTCTGTTTTTCCTGACGTTTTTTTTTTGGTGGTGGTGGTGGTGTTTTTTTGTTTTTGTTTTGTTTTTTTTTTTGTTTGTTTGTTTGTTTGTTTTTTCCTTAATACAGGCTTAGACCACACACATCCACCCCCAAAAAACCACTCACAGCACATTTCTGGCAAAAGTCCCTGAACACACCCTCCCTACCCGCCCCCCCAAACATTCAGTACATTTTAAAAAACAGGCTCAGTGGCACTTTCTTTAATATGACTTCAGTAACATTTTGAAATACAGTGCAGCCACACTGCAATTCACTTTGCTGTAAGGCTAACTTAGACATAAGGCAAACATCACCTTAGCTCTCAAATATTCCATTATAAGACACCCTTAGTATATAGATGTATCTCTGTTAAACACAGAGATGCCTTGTCTCCCTTCATTGCTTTTCCTCCTAATCAAAAAGGCAATTTAGGGAGATGGTGTGCTATAATCATCACAAAATGCAAGGTACTAGAAAGTTAAAAAGAAACAGCAATGAATAAACAGTACTCACATATCCAAAACTTATTTCCATTACTTAAATAATTTTATCTGCAATTACAAAATACATACACTTAAATATCTTTGTAAGAAATAATCATCTAAGATATCACAGATTATGATTTGCTTCTGATACTCTAACTGCCCTAACTCTGGCATAAAGATATACCTGGACAGTGTTACTACCTAGGATGTTTTCCTATTATAATTAATTTTCTTAAATATACAGTAAATTCTCTCTAGCTATTCTGACAGATAGTGCAAATGAAGACATTCTTTGGGTCACAATTTAAAAATATTACCGCCAATGATATCCTCAATTTCATAATGTTTTAGTAAATGAGTAACAAAATATTTTAAGTATATACATTTTCTAACATTTGTTTAACAATATGTTTTCCTCAGCTACCTCAGCTTAACGCAGATCACGAAAAAGGAAAAAGCTACAATACTGCTCACCTATCCAAACGATATATCTATACTTAAATAAATATATTTAGAAACCTACCTATAAGTTCCCCATTGCTTTCCATTTGCTGTTATTATCCAATGGCATACTACAACAAATGATATGAAAATATCTTAAAAGACAACAAAGATCACTTCAGAAGTACTGCTCAAAGGCAATGAAATAATGCTTTGAAAACCTGTGCACATTAGTTAGGCCTACATAGATCCAGCACATTGTATAATATAATAGTTTATGCTTTTTTTAGATTCAACTACTGCTTTGCCCTAGCCAGAGATAAAAAGCTTATTACATATCATAGATGTAGCAACACAAAGTGGCCCTGTTTGCTATCTAATGTTGCTTGCTGGTTTTACACGTTTATTTGAAGTTACTGACACCTGATTGCTAGTTCCATTAGTGGTATTGGTTGCTGAGCCATTCACAACGATGTAATCAACTTTGTTTTCCAATTTCACGAGGCGTTGTAAGATGTCATCCAGAAGAACAGCAATTGTTCTCTTAAGATCAGCTGAAGATAATGGAAAAAAACAAATTAGATCCTATTATTTACTACATGTGGAAAAGAACTGCCATTTCAACACAGTCACATCTTAAGACTTGCTATCTTTCCTACTATACTTTTTGGGAGAGTGCAGATTACTATACAGGTATAGAATTAAACAGCTGATTGATTTTTCTTTAATACCATATCTTTGTTATTTTAGGCAAGGAAGATATCATCATAATAGTGAACTGTGAACAAAGCCAATTAAATATTCAACTGTAAGAACAAAACCACTATTTGGAGCATTAAACTAGTGACTATTCAAAGGCAGTATTTCAAATTTCATCCAGAAAACAGCACTAGAATACCCAGCTATGACACCTTTTAGCCTTGGACAGCAATAGAATATATTTTAAAACTCTCCAACACAAAAAAAATGGTAGTTCCTAATAGATTTCCTCTAAATAACAGATCAATCCCACAGAAGAACTGCTACGAAAAAGTATCTTATCACTTCTGACATAAGCTACAAAGCAGGAAAAAAAAATCCAAATATTTAGGCCTATATTGATTGAAAAACAAGAGAAAGGACAGTAAAAAAATTCCCATATTCTGGAACACAAAAACAGTAACAGACCTTTCAACACAAGCTAATTACGCTGTTGTCAATGTTCATATCACCATCTTCTCTCAGATTTGGAAAAAATTAACAAGCTTACCAGGTTTTACAAGGTGTTAAGATCCCACCATCACACACCCACCTACCCTCTCTTCTCTCTTCACCCCCTGCCCACCAGTTCTTAACTAATCAGAAAAACTGGGGAGGAAAAACACAGGTATGAAAGTAGAAAAAGAAGAGTAACCCAGATAAAAATTAAAACACTGGTAGTGTATTAAAAAACAAAACAAACAAACAAACAAAAAAAAAACAAAAAAAAAAAAAAAAAAAACCAAAAAACCACCAAATAACATCCATACTTCAGGTCAGACCCTCCCTCTGAAATTAACTAGTTGTTGTTTAGTAATGTCATCTTTGAAAAAAAAAAAAAAAAAAAAAATTTTAATTGCTTTACAATTTGAGCCAGAGCAGGATCTGCTGTCAGTGACACACTGTGGGTCACACAGTCTGTTGTATCATTCTGTGCTCAACAGTCTGAGGGAAGGAATTGTTCTACTCAAGTTGTAAGTCTGATAATCAGCATGCAGATCAAAAGTTGACTTATTTTTTTTATTAAACTTCAGACAAAACCTCTGAAGGCAAATCTCATTCAGAAATACACTGTAAGACTTATACAGCAGTAAAAAGCTGCATACAGAAGGATTTTTTAAAAATAAGTTACACAGAAAATTCAATAGTAAGGGCAGGAAATCCTTGGAAGATAAAAAAAAGGGAGGTGGGGAGAAAAGACGGAAGAAAAAGTAGTCTCTTACTGTGGTAAAAATGCTAATGAATGAAATAATTAAAGGCTATGACATTTTGATAGTCCTCCTCCTCTTGGGTTGCTTTCTGCTCATCTTGTCATCACAGACTTTCCTCCTTGTTCCTGAGCAGCAGAAAAATGAGCTCAGACACATTTTTGCTGTTTGTGCTCTTACCAGAGTACTTATAAAGGGCATCCTGCTACTGAGAGAGCCCACCCTTTTAAGAATTCCTTAAGAAGGGGATCAGAGTACATTAATCTAAATCTTTACATATTTTTTTTTTAATATTTCCTTTTTAAGCCTTGCACTAATCTTACTTTTACAGATACATTTTTTTTCCTTTATGGGAGAACACAGGTACTTTCTTCAAACCTAATCCCCAAGGGATTGACTAGAGCTCATTGCAGCCTTCCCTCAAGAGAAGCTACGAGAGACCAAAGCGTTCAAATTATTAAGACATTTTTATAGCTTTGCTAAAAAGATCTCAAAACTATAGTTTCAAAACTATTTTTTCTGTATTTCACAAGACAGGCACAGGCTCTAATAATATACTACCAGTGAACGCTGGAAACATGTTCACCAAGTTAACAGAGAGAAAGATACGATGCAGCATAGAGACAAGGGGACGTATCTCTAATGGCTACTTCTGAGGCAAAGGGAAATTCTGCTAAATTCGTAACTGCCTTGAAGTCTTAAGACTGCAAGCTCAACTAATACGTTGCTTTCTGCTGACTTTTTACTACTTAAAGAGAAGAAAAATAAAGAAATAAAAGCAGAAAGTTAGCAGTGAGGCACAAGAAGAATCTGGACAATTGAAATTACTTAATCTAAAACCTCATCCCCATATCAAGCGTGTGCTTATTCCTCAATAGTTTAGGATTCAGAAAAAGCACAATGTTACTGTTAATCATCTAAGTAGCAGTAGTCATGTACTTGGAGATATCTAAAAAATTCCTGGAAAACAAAAATCTGATGTCTTGAGCTTGATTTTGCACCACATCCTAATCTTCAACTTCAGTGACTAAACTAAAATCAAATCAGTTAATCCAGAGAGGTTTTTTCTTTTAAAGAGCAATTTATATTACTTTAAAAAAAACAAAAAATGTTGTAACTTTACAGTTGTCAGGAAAATCATATTTGAATAATTACTACATTATTTTTTATGTCTTACCATATCCTGCCATAGAGGCTCCACCACCACCATTCATTAAATTTTTATTTTCTTCTGCCAGTGCTTTGACATATCTTTTACTTAGATCTAATATCTGTCCACGCAACTCGGCACTGCTTTGGCGTCTTGGATACTGAAAAGTGTAGCGTAGCAACATCAAACCCCAAATGATTCCAAAAACTAGTAAAAACATACTCAGTTTCTGGGACATATTTTTTCTTGAAAATGTTAGAAACATTTCTGATGAAGGCCACAGGTGCGTCTTAATTTCAAGATGAGTAGTTGAACTTAGTTTTGTCAAATTATATTACATATTAAACAAAAATAAGATTTCTGTGAAGTGAAAAATCTTCTTGCTGGATCATCTTGATTACATCTCATGTTTTAGTTGGTCTTGATGCCTGAAATTTGTAAAATATCACATGGTTATTCAAAGCTGCTATGGTTGTTGAGATCAAGGACAAATAGCAGTTTCCAAATGCAGTATCACTGTACAATCTAGCAAACAGTTGTGGATTTGAATCTGCTTAGAGGGGCAGTCATCTTTATCTCACCTGTTGTTTACAAGGTTTCCCTTTCTTATTTTTACCAACTTTTATTCTCCAAAAATCAAAACTTCTATGCTTCTATGAATCACCTTAAGTATTTTAAAGACTGTAATTTGAACTGACATTAAAACCAAATGCATTTAAAACAAAATGCAATATCTAGAAGACACCTGTAAAACACTTGCACACAACATTCTGATGAGTTATACACATGTATCGACACACAAGATCTTTACAGAACGAAGTTTCTTGGTTGTTTAGTTAGTTTGAAGTTGGACATCATCTTCTTCTGGTTTTGTACAGCATTAAGATTTTTTCGTTTTGTTTTGGTGTCTTGATAATAAATAACGAAATAAAACCAAAATGAACCAGCACACTGCACCCACTTTAAGCATCTTACTACCACTTTAAAGAAGTCTTACCATAGCAGCCAATTCTGAACCCTCAATAGATTAAGGCTTCAGAAGAAAAACAAATGGTATGAAAGCTTCAGCAGTTAAACAGCAAGTGTCCAGACAGTCTGAAGCAATACGAGCCAGACATCTTCAGGGAGCTCTGTACTAGGGAGAGGAAAAAAAAAATTAAACAAAATAACGTGCAGGACTAAAGAGACCTTACTTTCCCTATAGAATGGTTGAAGTTCAAGGCTTCAAGCCACATACTTTTAAAACAGAAATACATTTTAAAATGTAACTTGAAGCAACTGTTAGGGAAAAACATAGAATCCATTTCCATTTTATTATAAATGCATACATTTGAATGCCCAATAACTGATTTCAACATACTTTTAAATAAGAAACTTGGTAAGAATCTCACTGAAATGTGTCCCGTTTCTTCTGTTATGAGACAGTGACAGCAGATGTTCCAGATTCATCATATATGTATATACACATATATTTACATATGTCTAATTCCCTTATTCGTTTTCCCCCCCTCGAATAAATCTGATCTTTTCAGTCTCTTTAATATGTATAACCTCATATTCCTCATTTTTCAGCCACCTCAAATTTCTCCAATTATTCAATAGTTGAGAGGGAGTTTCTATTATTTAACATAGTCTGGATAAAGCTACTCACTTTACATAGTAATTACGTTTTCCTGTTATTCCTCATTCTTCTCCACATATTACCTGACATGAGCACTTTCCAAACTCAAGTTACACATTTAACAGTTTCCCACCAGACTTTCTATAGTGGTACTTAGGTGTCTGTTTTTATTAGAATACTGAGACTGAATTTCTTATCCTGCTAAGCACTCATCTAAATTTAACTCCACCTCCACAGTATTTTTCATCACCTCTGCTGACCAGTTCAGCTGGCCTTACGCCGACACACCACAGGCTGCTGCAAACACAAGTGTCACTGCCAGCAGGGTTCTGACTTGTCCTTGCTGCTTACCCTTCACCTTCCCTCTTCAGATATTCCTCTCAATAGGCAAGCCAACAGGACTGATTCAAGTGCCAAATTTTCAAAGTGCTCTAAAATCAACATGCATATCGGAATTATTCTGAACTTGATCAACCCAAGGCAGGGGCAATATTAGGACTTGGACACCAGAGTTGATGTAAAGTAACAAGCTACTGTGCGTAAAATGCCCTATAGTAATTGCCAGTACATAAAATCTTACTTTACTGTTGGGTGTACTAACGTAAGGAGCAATCACTAGTTGCTGAATGAGGAATAGCTTACTTCACCTTAACTGTGGGATATGACTGTGCACACGGACAGACAGCCAACATGCAATAATTTGAAATCCCACTGCAAATGCAGTGGGATGTACTTTGTTCAAAGAATGTGCTTATCCCCCTGAAAAAATAATTTTAAGACAGAAATTTGTACATAAAATAAGAAAGAAAACAATAAAAACTTATATTCTACAGTATCAGCATGAATATTTGGAATTGTGTGGTTAAAGATTTCCTGAAACAGATCCTCCCTAAACATGAGCTAACCAAAAGTTCTTTTCCCTAGCTCTTTGCCAAATCCATGGCTCTGCACTCAGACTTTAAAGAATAAACTGCACATACATTATTATGCATCTACATATTCCCTGAATACTATCAAATACAATGGGAAACATTTACCTAAGAGGTACAGGAGTAGGGTATTCACACGATGACTCAAAAGACCAAACAGTATCTCTCAAGGAGAGACCATAAGTTTCAAACTCCATTCCCAAAAGTCTACATTTTACATTACTAAAAAAAAAAAAAAAAAAAAAAAAAAAAAAAGTTGGAAAATAACAAATAGCTCTTGCAGAATTCAAATTCAGTTCTCCACAGATCTCCAGCCATATCTCATCCTAAAGCATTTAGACAGTATCACTACAGAGCTTTGGAGTGGAAATAACTCTGCCATCACGCTGTAAATAAGACCACAAGCCAGGATAAGAGTCCTAGCCAAGAGGAACAGATTGAATAAACTCCCGCCAAGGAGCTGTAGGAATTGCAGACTGGGTCTTTGCCATGTATATTCGATTCACAGTGCACATGCTGACTACTGAAACTAGCGGAAATCAAGGACTTAACCTGCTGGGCAAATGGCATAACACCCAAATACTGACACTGGGCCAAGGAACTGGGAGTAAAGTGTACCAAAGTGAAGGGAACTATTTCTACTTGTCACTTTTCCCATGCATTTTTAGAGACCATTCCCCCTTAATGCATTCCAGTGTAATTTCAAAATACACACACACACACACACACACACAAAATCTTATACGTATGTGATTTGCAAGTAGGAAAAAAGGGTATTTATTGGAGCAGCAGATGTATATATTGGCAAAAAAAAAAAAAAAAAAACCACAATAAGTAAAATGGAGGGATTGTAATATTCTTTTACCTCTTGTTGCCCTTAAGGGTCAGCACTATTCTACACAAACATTACAGTTGAAACTAAACTTGTCCTCAGAACTGATCTTTGTTTTCTGTAATCAAGAGGTAATATCCCATGAGATAACACCATATATGTAAGAAGGAACACTGTCTCTTGTGATCTTTCTTCTCCCTCATTCTCTCAACTCCTCCTTACCCACCACTCCCTGAGCAGGGAAAAAAGGAAGCTGAGATTTCCTTCCTCACACAGACTTAGCCTGGGTAGGAACTCAGGTTTACAACTCTCCCAACAGCAGCTGAAGGGCTTTTATAGAAAAGGAAGTCGAAACACTGTAGGGAGGAACAGACCAAAAGGGCGTATCAGAGCTACACCTTGTTGGAATTCCTACCACACGTAATCGTAGAAACTGAGACAAAAGACAGACAACCATAAAGACGGAGTACAGCCAGAACAAAATTTGAAAATCTGAGGAGTATAAGGGAACAAAAAAACCCAAACAAAACAAAAAAACCCACAACAATCCAATCCTCAAAACAAACAAAAAATATCAAACAAACCCAAATCAAACAAAACCCCTGACTTCACTACACAGGCAAAATGGCAATCCAACAATCCACAAAGAAGAAAATATCTTCCAGATAATCCTTTCAATAGGCAGCCTGAAGTGACTAATTCAGGTGGCAAATTTTCAAATATTCTGTAAAATAAACATGCATATCTAAATCATTCTGAAAATGACAAGCCCAAGCCAGGGGCAACATTAGAACTTCGAACAACAACAAATTCCTGAACAGAGAATCTAATACTAGGTTTGCCCTTCACCAACATATAAAGAGTTTGGTTTTCTTCACTGCTGCGACTGCTAGTTGTCTAAGAAATGTACTGCAAAGCCTGCCAGTGTGGATTTAACACTGTCCAGTAGTACCACAACAAACACTGACATACACCTGGCAATGAAAGCAATTAACTAAGGCACTCACCCTCTCCAAAATAAAATAATCTCTATCCTCTGAGTTCTGTTCCAACATCAGTCACATACATATTATATTATTGAGTTCATGAAAGGAAAGGAACAAGGGCCAAAGAAAAAGCAACAGAAAATCCATTATATGTTCCATAATAAAGAAAAGTTCTAGTATCTCTGATGCTACTTAACTGAATAGTAGCATCAGACCTCAGTTTGAATACTGACCCTTCTTCATGGAAACCAGCCCATAGTTACAAAACATCACACTTGAATTTTCATGTAAAGTCTTCCTCAAATTCTGCTTTACTTATTCCCAGCAAAACCCAGAGATTCATGCACACACAAAAAAACGCAAGAGTCCATAAGGTAAAGGAATGCCTCATACATCCTCTGAAACAATCTCAGGATATCACGATAACAAGGCATACTCAAACCCTTAAAAGGTTACAACACACCTTACGGCACTGTCAGTTCTGCTAGTCAGTCAGCTCATGAAAGACAAGTACATATTTGTCATCACTTTTCTAATCTGTCCAAGACATCCCAGCCTTCCTAAACCAATAGAAGTTGTTATCAGCATCAGCAGGGCAAATTTAAAACTGTTGCAGAGATGGTGTGTACCTTCTAGTTTTGAAAAATGTAGAGGACATATTAAGATTATTATTTACAAGAGAAAGAGAAAGCAGCAGGCCTGTCAGGTATTCTTAGCACTTATTACTAAGTGGCTTTAGCAAAAAAAAAAAAAAAAAAAACAAAACAGAGTCAACAAGAGGTAAAGAATAGAGAAAACTGAAGCCTGAGAACCCCATTCCATTCAAGGATCAAAAAGACTTCAAGGATAAAACCAAGAAAAATGCACTGAAAATAGGTTTGTTAACATACAGTCCAATAAAGTTACCTCTTTGGTTCTGTATTTGAAAGATAGAATGCCAAATATTGAGGCAGTAGTTCCTCAGTGATACCCTGAAGACCTACATAGGTCCCTAATGAATTAGTATTCAGAAAACAGCCTTGATAAATGGGAACTTTACTCAATCTATTACTTACTACCATAATTCTTATCTGTTCCTCACTGTCAAATTATGATCAACAACAACATGACACAGTGAATTCAAAAGCAAGTCTGACTTTGCAACTAATTATTAACTGTATAAACACAAGAAGTGATTTACCAAGACAGAGATTTAAAAAATAAAACACAAGATATAGTCATAGGAGACTGCATCCAACTACAGACAAAGGAAGCGGGGAAAAAAAAAAAATCTTGTAACAGAAGATAGCAGACAGAAATTAGGACGGTACAAATAAAAACTGATGTCAATAATTGTAAAAAATTCTAATTTTGTACAGTACAATTATTTTATACCAATCTCAGTGGGAGCATAACAAGTTTGTGAAATTATTAAGGATTTAAAGTTAATATGCTAAAAGTATGTCTATACAAGAAATTTCTATTAAATTAATGGTGGCAAGTATCTCTCAGTCCAGTGAGAGCACTGTATTAGTAAACAGAAAGCTGTGCTGTAAACAAACATGATGATACCTTACTGCAATAACCAACAAACATTTTAGGAAGACAAAAATCACGGGGCATTACAGAATACCAGGAAATATTTCTACAGTTCTATCAGCTCTATCCTATTAGTTCTCTTTTTTTATATGTATCTAGTGTGCTCCCCCCAGCCCATTTACCTCTGTGACCTTCAACATCTTTTGTTTTCTGATCTTCCAAGAGAAAACTTTGCTCATCACAG